ATTATGAACTCATTTGACAGGTTAAAGAAAAAACATCACAAGAGGGACACCTGGGTGGCTCAGTCAGTTAAGTGTCTGCCTTCAGCTCAGGTCATGATCTCAGGGTCCTGGGATCGAGCCCTGCGTCTCGCTCAGCAGGGAGTCTGCTTCCCCCTCTCCCTCTGCCCCTCCCCACTGCTTGTGTGTGCACACTCTCTCACTCATAAATAAATAAAAATCTTTTTAAAAAAAATCACAAGAGATAGCAGTATAAATGGTGGAGGTAAGTAACTCCAAAGTCCATCGCTCCATAAAAGCAATGAAAAAATTGGCAAAACTGGCACCATCAACTTTCTTAAATTCAATAAATTAAAGTTTGCAGCAACCAAGGGAGCATTTCATCAAGAAAAAAACGGAAAATTCAGTAAGAATAATGAGCTCTGTGGTATTTTAACTTACTCTAGTCCCAACCCCCTGCTCTCCAGCTCAATGGTGGCATTGAACGTAAGTAAGACCTTGCATTTCCAGCACCAGCACCAGAGGGAGCAGAGCAGGTCTCATTCTCAAAGACCTGTAATTACTTGTTGTGACCCGTCTGGTGGTCCCTGGAAGACTGGCTCAAAAACAAACGAACAAAAACACTTGCCCTATCTTGTCTGAGAACTCAACCAGTGCTAACAGGGCTGTATCAAAAACATTTACAGGCAAAGGTTTTAGTCATTGCTGCCTGAAGCAATGGATAACAGTTGGACCAAACAGCAGACTAACCAAAATCTTAGGAGGAAAGGCTTTAGGGAATAAGGGCTCTGAAGAGCTCTGACACATTCCTGGGAATCTAAAAGACCACACACATGCTGTGCACATGTTCAGAAAAGACCTGAAAAGTTCCTACCTCTGGCTGATCTGAAGGCTCTGCAGAAGCAGGAAGTTAGGGCTAAGGCAAAGATGTAAGCTGCCTGGCTGAGCATGGAAGGTGCACCCAAACGCACATTCCAACACCTCTGCAAAAACTGGGCCATGTTTTCAGTCCTGGGCACTTAAGGAAATCTCTGTGCCATGGTTAGGTGACCATTAAGCTAACAGCATGAAGACTTCAGAGGCGACACAGGACAACCACAGACTTTAAAAAATTTTTTCAGAATTTTTAATTTAAAATTATTTTTTAATTAGATCAGAAAAGTCACTAAACAACAAATGATAAAATCAAAAAGCGAAAGAATGAGAAAAGAGAATGCATGCAAACTGAGACAAAAAGAGAGTCGTGGTGGCTACACAAACAGAAAAAAACCTACTTGAAACGAAATTGTTCTAAGAGAGAAAGGACATCATATAATGATAAAAACGTCAATCCATCAAGATGTAACAATTATAAATATATATAAATCTAACGACAGAGCCCCAATACACATGAAGCATAAACTGACAGAACTGAAAGGTAGAAACAGAAGATTCAACATTAATAGTTGAGAGATGTCAATATCCTACCTTTAGTAATAGATATAAAACCTAGACAGAGATTCAAAGGAAACAGAATTTGAACAATATAAACCAAACAGACCTAACATAACTATATAACATTCCAGCCAACAAGAACAAAATACTCATGCTTCTCTAGTGCACCTGAAACATTCTCCAGAAAAGACCATATGTTGGGCCACAAAACAAGTCTCAATAAATTTTAATAGATTAAAATTATACAAAGTATATTCTCCAACCACAATAGAATGAAATCAGAAATCAAAAACACAAGGAAATTTGAAAAACTCACCCTGGATAACTTGCTTTTCTCTAATTTACCAAGTAAGTGCCTTAAACATTATACTAGAGTTCTGGCCAGGGCAATTAGGCAAGAAAAAGAAATAAAATGCAGTCAGATTAGAAAGGAAGAAGAAAGATATATTTGCAGGTGACATTTTCTTCTACATAAAAAAAAATCCCAAGGTACCCACAAAAAAATCTATTAGAGCTAATTAACAGTCCAGCAAATTTGCAGATATATAATATGTAATTGTATTTCTACACACTAGTAATGAACAATCCAAAAATGAAATTAAGAAAACAATTCTGTTTACAACAGCAGGAAAAAGAATAAAATACTTCAGGAGAGATTTAACAAAAGAAGTGTGAGACTTATACTTGGAAAATTACAAAATGCTGTTAAAGAAAAATTTTAAAGGACCTAAATAAATGTAAAGATATCCCACGTTCAGGTACCAGAAGGCTTAATATTATTAAGATGACAATAGTGCTCAACTTAATTTAGATTTAAAGCAATCTCTTTTAAAATCCCAGATGTTTTGTTTGTTTGTTTTGCAGAAATTGACAAACAGATCCTAAATTTCATATGGAAATTCAAGGGACCCAGAATAGCCAAAACAATCTTGAAAAAGAACAAAGTACAAAACTCATACTTCCAAATACAAAACTCGCTACAAAGATACAGTATACAAGACGGTGTGGTAGAGCATAAGGACATAGACAATAATGAACAGAATTGAAAGCCTACAAGTAATCCCATACACCTATGGTCAATTGATTTGTGACAAGGTTTCCAAGACCATTCAATGGACAAAGAAGTCTTTTCAACAACTGGTGCTGAGAAAACTAGATAACCAACATGCAAAATAATGAATCTGACACCACCTCATATAACACACAAAAATTAACTCAATATGAATCAAAGAAATCAATGTAAAAACTAAAACTATGAAACTGAGGAAGGTGGACATACATCTCCATGAATTTGGATTAAGCAACAGTTTTTCAGGTATGACATCAAAAGCACAGTAACAAGAACAGCAACAACAAAAAAAACCCAGATAAATTGGGACTTTTTTCAAATTAAAAACTTTTGCGCATCAATGGATACTATTAAGAAGGTGAAAAGACAACCCACCGAAGGAGAAAATACAGCAAATCGTATGTGTGATAAGAATCTAGTACCCAGAATGTATTTAAAACCTCTTACAGCTCCACAACAAAAAGGCAACCATTTTTTTTAAATGGGCAAAGGATTTGAGTGGACATTTCTCCAAAGAAGATATACAAATGGCCAATAACCACATGAAGCGATGCTCAACATCATTAGTCATTAGAGAAATGCATATCAAAACCACAAAGAGATACCACTATACGTCCACTAAATGACTATCGTTAAAAAAGGGGGGGGGGAGATACTGGAACCCTCACACATCGCTATTGTAAAATGGTATAAGGCACTGTGGAAAACAGCTTGGCAGCTCTTCAAAAAGTCAAATAGAGTTACCAGATGACCCAGGAATTCCAGGTACATCATTAAACAAGAGAACAAAAAATATGCTTTCACACAAAAACTTGTTCAGCAGCATTATTCATAATAGCAAAATAACAGAAACAACTCAAATACCCATCAATCGATGAACAGATAAACAAACTGTGGTATATCCATACAGTGGAATATTATTCAGCCATAAAAAGGCATGAAGTACTGACACGTGCTACAAAGTGCACGAGCTTCGAAAACATGCTGAAGAAGCCAGACTCAAAAGGCCACATTTTGTATGATTCCAGTTATATGAAATGTCTCCACAGAGACAGAAAAGTAGATTATTAGTTGCTAGGGACTGGAGGCAGGGAGGATTACGGAGCAACTACCTAACAGTTATGGGGTTTCTCTCAGGGTGACAACAACGTTCTGGAATGAGAGAGCGACAACGGCTACACAATATTTTATATAAATTAAAATCCACTAAACAGTACTTTAAAATGGTCGAAGTGGTGAAGTTTTTGTTATATGAATTTTATCAGAAATAAATACATAGGTAAATATAGAAAACATCACTTAACTGAAAATTACATTACTGCTTAGCTGTTAAGCCCTTCATTATAACTTGAAATAATGTCACATAAGTGTCAAATCTTTAAAAGCATGGTTCCAAATTTCTAGATCCCCACAATACATATATATAGATACCAATTCATCTTATGCTTGCAATTTATATTAGGAGCCTAAGATGACAATTAAGTTGTTCTCGTGACAGTTATTAAACGAGATGAGCCAAACAATGTCTACTGGAACAACCTGAACAAATTACCCCCAAAACTCTACAAATAAGATACAGAACCATCCCTATGAAACTTGACTTTTATTTAATCAGCACTGCAAAACACAAGAATTATTTTTAAAGCCTTTAGAAATCAACGAGGAACTGCCAAAATGAAGCTAATGTCAAAAAGGTATCTTTCATGTATCAAATTGTAAATGTTTATCCTGTTTTAATAAGAAGACCTCTGCGATTGATAATGACCACAACCAACTTTCTACATAATCATCTTTAACCACTGCAAACTTAAGGGGACCAGCTAGACAACATGTTTACAGTCTACACCAATGGTACCATTTTGGAAGTTTTATAACTTGGAATTACTAAGATTTTCATATCAGCGAAGGCCCACAGAGATGCTCTTTAGAAATACGTAAGTATTTTAAGATAAAAATCCACCTTAAAATTCACCTTAAAATGCCTAGTTGAGTAGAGTCAATTCCACGTTAAATACACTGCCCATTCTGACACTCAGGAATCAGTATTGCTGCGTATCAACTGCCCCAGGCTAAGAAAGCACAGCACTAGGAATTCACCACTGGCTGAGATAGCCAACATCTAAGGAGAGCTTAATTAACACATTTATAACTGACAAATGTAACTTAAGTAAAAAGACAAATCACTAGAAACCATTTGCCCGGATCAGACAGAACAAAAAGCTGCTTGAAGGAGAGCCTCCTCAGGTCAGTCAGATGTTAAATGTTCTCAAACAGCAATAACAGACTCTAAGGGACATGTTTCAACAATAATGACCATTCTACAAAGCCTGAAATACCACAATAAGAGGGCAAATTAAAATAAATTCCAAGAAAAGATTATCTTTAAAAGACTATTAAATTCAGTAAGATCTGTCCACTGTTCTCCTCAAATCAATAAATACTACTACTTTTCACAAAAATTTAATCCCAAAAGGAAAAAAACGAAAAGAAAGACATTTACCTCTTCTAAGCTAGGGAGCGAAGAAGAAGATACTGTTCGAGATGACAATGGGTGAAATGGCTCTTGACCAATAGCATGTTGATGATTCTGTATTTGTACAAAAGGGTTCTGCGGTGGCCTGTGAGGCAATGGAGGTAGGCCATAGGGAAAACCCGGCCCCATTAGGTGATTCTGTTGTAAGTTAGCAAAAGTCCATGCTCCATCAGGTGCCAGGTATTTCAAGGGAGGAGGGGCAAGGTGTTCAGATGGCAACGAAAAAGGCGAGCTGAATATCTGGGGCGGTAGGCGCTGTGGAAATGCTGGGCTGTTGGCTACTTCAATGTCTCTGCTGTTGTCATTAAAGTTAGAAAAGTGGCTACTGTGGTCTGTGCTGGATGGGGGAGATGGGACTGCTGGTGGGCTCCTAGTCTGAATTTGTCTATATTGCAAAAGTCTTGATTGAGGTGGTGGCATTTCAGCTAGTTCCCGTGTTTCACTTTGATCACGATTAGATAGTTCTCTGATTAAGTCTTGAAACCTACACAAAGACGATGAAATATGAGGAAAAGAAAACAAAAGAAAAGCTCTGTCACATCAAGGAGAGCTTTAGTCAACTACAAGTGTTAATTTTTACAGACAAAATCAGAATACTTCATTAAAACTAACATTAATTAATCTCAAAAGTGAGCATTAAGGGGCGCCTCGGTGGCTCATTTGGTTGGGCATCAGACTCTTGGTTCTGGCTAGGGATCCAGGGTCGAGAGATCGAGCCCCACGTTGGGCTCAGCACTCAGCGTGGAGTCTGCTTGTCCCTCTCCTGCTTCTCCCCCCACTTGCACATGCGGGCTTCTCTCTCTTTCAACTAAATTAAAAAAATCTTTGAGAAAAAAAAGTGAGCATTAACACTTACTACATGCTGAGTTGAAGACACTAAATATGCCCAAGTACCTGATTTCTTTCTTTTCCCTTGGCATTAAAAACTGTCCTTGTCTCTGATGTCTTTGATAACTGCCCGTTATAAAAAGTCACCATCATGGTAGGCCTTGTTCAGAGGGATTAGGAAACATTTCATTGCATTCACATGACACTGGCCATAAAAACAAGTTTAGAATAAGGACTGAACACTCAAACATTTGTAGTTAAAAGAAGACAGAATTCTGTGCAGGTTGGGGAAAAAACTGATGATAAATTTCTAATTTTTAACTTTCAATCACTAATTTACTTCCGTGCCCATTCATTTCTTGTATTACTACTGGGTATGAAAAAAATGCTCACAGTGATGGTATATTTCTTTTTCAGGAGAGCCACAAAGCAAGGGGCCACATTAATATTCAATCCACAACAGATTGTCCATGCCCAGATCTGCACCAGTTACTTCTAAATGGATTCTCTGTATTTTACAGTCGATCAATAGAACTATGTAGCATGTGCCTAGAAGGCCAGCATCCAATTTCTTTGGGACAAAATTCCAACTTGAGGCTTAAAGGATGACATCCAACAAAAAAAACAGTGGGTGTGGGGAGGGGGTGTGGGTCATGTTTCAGAGGCTATTTTTACTCCGTAGAAATACCTTGATTCTGTTGTTTCCGCTTCCTCTTCGGCACTGCTGGGGAGCTTCCAGTCTGTTCTCACTGGCGGCTGATGTAACCCGATGGGCGGCTGAGGAAGATGCTGGAGGTGAGGATGAGGGTGGTGATGGTGTGGGTATGGAATACTGCCCTGACTGAGATAGGCGTGATGCTCGTTCCACTGCTGTAACCGCACTTGCTGCTGCCTTAGTGTTTCTAGAGCTACACCCCCGTGCATACGATCTGCAAAATATTTGGGAAGAGTTTAAATTTTCATGCATTTGGGGTTTCAGGTTAATTTGGGGTTTCAAGTTACTCAAGGGTTTTTGCAACCAGACTTTCTTCACAGAGACAAAGAAATGCCTACAGTTTGGGTTTTGGAGAAAGCAATATTTTCTAAATTTGCCAGTAACTAAAGTCATGATAAAGATGATGATGATTCTTCCTTGCCTACATAATCATGTAAAATGGCATGACCTGGATGCTTGATATCATTTGGCATTTGGAACAAGATTCTGACTGTTACACTAAGCAATTGATCTTTGCTTCCATTATCTGAAGAAATGAATCAATCCTGACCCAAATTAATATTGCACAGTACATGTCAATTTAAGGAAATAATCTCTGAATTTGTCACATCCAGCAGTGACAGGAGAACTTACCTAAAGCCTCCCCTATAGGCAATCCTGGGGGGTTCTCATCAGTGAAGTTATTCAGATGTGAAGGAAGGAGGGGGCCAGGCTGTGCGATGGCTCGCAGAGGACTGTGGCCTTCTTGCAGCATGGGAGGGGGATGCTGCTCAGGAATCACAGCCTCTGCAGGAGGGGACTGTGGTCGGTGAGAAACTGCACTATTAAAGAAAGCGCTGTTGGGTCCTGCCTGATAGGCAGGAGAAAGTTGAGGAGGTGGCTGCTGAGTCAGCTGGTTCAACGGATTCTGTGGCGGGACTACCTGATTTGGTTGGGGTGGCATCTGATTTGGTTGTTCAGGCAAATTACTCTGCTGCTGATTTAGCAAGGCAGCGTGCTGTTGTGGAATTGGAAACGGTGGTCTGGGTAGCTGGGGAAGGGGATGAAAATGACGACTGGGGATTGCATACTGTGCATGGGGAGAAGGGAGAGGAAGATTTATGTGTCTCGGGTTGAGATTATCTTTGCGATGAAATTTGGTATTGGGATAAACAACACCAGGACGCGACTCAGGACTTCTGTTCTGTGGATTTGATTCCAAATCAATCTAGAAAAAAATAAGAAGTCTTTCTTAACTATGGAAGATCTGGGTCCTGTGGCTCTCCACCTTTTCCCACCCCTAGCACATCTACAAGATAGGATAGATTATCAGTCACAGCTGTGTGCTAGGTGCCCAATCAATCACTTTCTGACAAAGGAGGGAATAAACACGTTTTAAATTAGAAAGATGAAACAGAAAAAAGCATATTAAACTTGAGTCCTAAGAAGAGATATTGCCCTCTTATTAAAATACCCACTTTAATTCCTTTAAAAACATTATTTTTAATTTCACATTTTCTTCCTTGGAAAGATAACCATTTATTTCCTTCTCATATAAATCATTAAAATGTGTCCTTTCCTTCCAATTTTATTGTTTTTATACATCTCTTTCTTCAAATATATCTATATTAATTTTAAAAATACTTGTCTCAATTTAAACAACTTTGAAGTGAATACTTTATCACCTTTGTATAACCAATCTGGTTGTCAATTCTTGCCATTAGGTATTGACATTTATCCTTTCAACAAACGTTTCCTGAGAGCCTACCAAGGGCACTGCACCTCGTGCTGGAGATTTAAAAAGGCAGTACAAAGACTCAGTCCGTACCCCCAAGAGCTTACAGCGAGGGTTGGCAAACCATGATCCCCAGGCCATTTCCGGTCCACTGAATTTTTGCAGTTAAAGTTTTACTAGAACGCAACCACCCCCGTTCACTGACACACTGTCTATGGCCTCTTTCTCACAGCAGTGGCAGAACCCAGTAACTGCGCGGAAACCATGCGGCCACAAAGCCTGAAGGTGTACTATCTGGCCTCTCGCAGGAAAAGTTTGCAAAGCCCAGGCTTGGAGGCCAATAGAGGATACCAACAAGTAAACACAAAATTAGAGGTGTTAACAAAAGGAAGTGATAGGACAGCCCAGTGCCTGAGACAATGAGAGGTGGCTTCACAGAGGCTATGCACTTGAATTGAATCTTGCACAAGGAGCTGAAATTTACCAGTGCAGGAAGGACATTCTAGGTAAAGGTAACAGCCTAACCAAGGAGGGCGGGGAAAGGAGAAAAATATGGCAGATTTGAGGAGCATGAGAAGCTTTGTGTACACAAAGCGACTACGTCACTTGTTTAGATGTTAGTTTTCCCCTTCCCAACATCAGATAAAACTGCAAGAGCCCAATTACACAAGACCCTGAATGATTCGATACTGAGAATAAACATTTTTAATCCTGTATTGTAAACTGTGGTAAGCTACCAAAGATTTGTAAGCTAGAGAGTGCCGGCATCCTTATGAAATCCAAATTTGATCGTAAGTGGTGACAATGTGAAAACTGAAATATAATGCGGAAAGAAGCAATTTTTCTTTCCCATCTCTGTCAAAACACTCAATGAGCTGCTTTGGTATATCAACTCCCTATAAGTTTCAATGTGGAAATGGTCACTGAGGACTGTAGAGTACTTGCCTCACCAAAGGCTCTCAAGCTAAACACAGAACTGACCACTCTCCAGAACCCAGAACAAGCAGCTTGCTCCTGAATTGCAGCTCAGGTACTCCTGGCAACCAAGCTATCACAACACCGGCAGCGACATGCCCATCATGCCTCCGGCGCATTTTCATCTCTCATCACTAAGTTCAAATGGACTTGCCATTGAATTGGGCCAATAAGGTCCTTAAGATCACTGGGTGTATAGAAACTGTCTAGAAGATGAAATGGGAAGAATGACAATTTCAGGGGCGCCTGGGTGGCTCAGTCCTGGGATCGAGCCCCACATCGGGCTCCCTGCTCAGTGGCGGGGGGGGGGGGTCAGCTTCTCTCTCTCCCTCTGCCTGCAGCTCCCCCTGCTTGTGCTCTGTCAAATAAATAAATAAAATCTTTAAAAAAAA